GAGAAGCAAAGTGTTAATCACACAAGTTTGAAGAGTAGAGCAGATTAGATACTGAATAACAAAGCAAAGACATTCTTTAGAATATAATGAAATTTTAAGTCATTTAAAAAATTATGCTCAAGTAAAAGGTAAGACATAAAATTTCTCATCTGAGTTATAAACTATCCAAAGTCCTCTTAATTTTTGTGAATATTTTGAAATAATATCTCTGAACAAAGAACAAGTCCTAACATCTCTTATATCTGAAAATAAATAAATAGTACCTTCTCTGGCAATACGTATTATAGTCTCACAGGAAGGCTATTTCTCAGAAAGTCAGGGTTTGGGGAAGAAAATCTGATCTCAAGGTTTCTTGTGAACATTACCTTTGACATTCGCTTTTGCCTTTGTTGATGAAATTGAATTACATCAAAAGGCAGTGCACTATTATTGCTGGGAACCTGTTGAGTGTGAGGTCCACTAGGACAGAGCAGGCAATATTCTTTTCTGAGAATTTTTGTGAAGACCCTTGGAACAATTGTCAGATACAGAACCTTCTTAATTGAATGCATGGCATTTGGAACATCACATTCCCTTTTTTAAATACCAGAAAGCATTTTAACTCCTTACCTTGCTGTACAAAAGATCCATACACAAACCACATGGAGTTATAGAGAGTAGTAGATGTCATCGATCCCATCTGTAATCGTGGGGGGTTAAGCCAGTTCAGGAGGTAGACCAGCAGACCCACCAGGAGGACTGTGCCAGCAATGCAAGCCCACAGAGAGAGGTCAAATGGTGCGAGGCAGGCAAACATATCCACTGTCTTCTCGGCCCTTCGAAGCAGCACCCCTACTGAGTAGTCCATGTAACGCGTTGTAAAGTCCACTACATTCTCGCGATCTGGAGTGATGGTTAAAGCAGAAATCCCGATGTCAGCTCTCTGAAAAATGGAAAGAGAAAGGAATACGTTACCAGTGTGAAAACCAATTTCATCTGTGGCACTGCAACTTGCCTTGAGGGAAAAAAATAGATGCTTTAGGCAATATCGTGTCTTTTTCTATAAACTGAAAAATACTGCAAAGAATTCTTGCAGGAGAACTATGCGTGAATTTTGCATTTCTGACTGTAAATCTTGCCTCAACAAAGTCAGACAAATTACTTTGCCTGTATTATCAGTGCATGCGAGATCAGTTAAGAATATTTTAGACACAGATATTACAGGAAGAAAATTGTCTTTTTTCCTTGGGTCATTTTTTCAAAGCCATTATTAACATTGTAGTAAAGGAAAATTTTCTATTAAAGAATTATTTCTGGGAAAATGTTCCACAGATATTTAACATATTCTTCCCATGTAAATTAATATAGGTTATTTAAAAACTTCAATGTGGCATTATACCCTTGGTTAAATGTATTAGCATCAAAATCGATATTATTAGATTCTAAACACACTAGTTTTTGCCAGAGTTTTTATAGTACCAAGTTATAATGACAAATACCAGGAGTCGCTACCAAGATTGCATTACATACATTTCAGAAACAATTTAATGAACAATAAAAGATTAAGGAGGCAGCATTCTTCGTATAATAACCCCTCTCTTCAGTGTGTATTTTCTTATTTTTCAGTTATAACAAAACTCCAGCATATGCTATTCTACTTATTTAAACAACAAAACTGCAATAGAGCATTGAACAAATGACTC